GATTTTTTATACTGCGTCGATTTCCAAAATGTCGACGCCATGGAAAAGACATTTATCGGCGCCAAGCTCTATTCCATCGCCAAAAACAATGAGAGCTGTCTATAAGTGAGAAAGTTAAATTAATTAAAGACAATGAAACTTTGCTACTTTAAAATCTTTATCAAACAAATACGGCATCGGGTAATCTACAGTGGGGAACATTATAATTATAAAAGACTTATTTACGAAGATACGAACAAAATTTCAGTGAGAAAAACAAAAGATCAACTTTAAGTGCAAATGTACGATGTAATTGTGAAAACGTTTGAATGTTAAGCTGCTAATAGTTTTATATGTTTTTATTTTCAGAACTGTTATATGTTAGTAAATATGTTTTATGCCTTTGTTATTGTCGGTAAATAGCTTATTAGCTAATGTTTCTTGTAATATGTAAACCGACTTAAAATAAAGTTTCTTGTATCTTGTATCTTGTATCTTGTATGTTCTTGCTCTGCCTTAGGCCCTGTCCTTTTTTGTTTGGGGTCCTCCTGGGCTCCTTGTCGCTGGTTCTTGTTGCTGGGTCATGTGAGGGTTGCGTTCCTTGTTGATCTTGTTTATCATATTTTAAACAAGCTTAGGAAAAGAACATCCCTGTAGCAGGTCCGCTTGAAAAGGACAGTCTATGCGACTTGTCATAAAAAAATCAGACAAGCGTCATAAACTATTTTACTTCAACAAAATGAAAACAGTGACAAAAAGTATATGTCTTTAATTTTTGTAAATAAAGACGTTTCTTGTGTAAATAATTAAATAACATGTTATTTTTAACGTGTTCATCTTAAACTGTGTTCGTTAAATCATTTTCAAGTACCCAAATGTGAACATATGCGATATTATCGGACTACAATTATGAATTAACTTCTGTACGTTGTAAATAAAAAAATGATTGTATTTAGACGCAGAATGTCACAAAAAATAAAACATGTTATTGTGTAGTTCATCATTATTTTATTTAGCAATATACGTACATATGATAATGAAAATGCAAATATACAGGCATCTGTGGGAAGTCATTGCTCGGTACATATTACCCTGAAGGGAACATTGAAAACACCAGTCCGCTGAGAACACCGGACAAAACCATAGGTCCGATAGCCGTTCTGTTTTCTTAACTTTCATTGTTTGTAGGTAGGAAGAGCAACAAGAACACCTACAAAATCACAACGAAGCAGGACAGAAGACGAAAATTAAAAGGTGAAATCCTTCCTGATATCTGATAACCTTGAAAAAAAAATGGTCCATCCGCTCTGTCGAATGCATTCATTTTGGACCGTGACTATGTGACAATGCCCCTGTAGAAGTTAAAGATGTTTAACAATATTCTACGTTATAATCGTTATAATAATACAGGCAGTGATTGTACAAATCAAAGGTATATAATGGTACCTATACATTTTATCTTAACGACTATGTTAGACTTTTATGGAGTGAAAGAAAATGTCGACATGCTTCGATTATCTTCTTTCTAAACGGAAATAATCAAGATAATATTTCCTTTACAATTCGTATAAGTTTTAACTTTACAAGAAAACGTGTACTCTTTTTTCCTTTTTACTTTCATGCAGCATTTTTTTGCCATGATTTTCTAAGGCAAATATGTTTGTGTCCTTTCTAAGACTGTTCTCGTGATTAAATTGATGGAAATCGTTAGTGAAATTTTATTTCAGCCACTTAAAATTAATATCACGTTTCCTGTTCAATAATTTCCCTGTATTAAAGCTACTGAGGTTTGATTTTCTAAATAAATTATTGTCAATTTTATGCGCGGCTTAATCGAGAAAGCTTTTGGTTAATTAATTTGTTGACAATTTCACCCTTTATATCGATGTTAAAGAACGTTTACTTTTGAATAGTATCAAATATACTGTGCATTTACCGTTGATACAGACATGAAGGCTAGCTAAAGTACAAACTTGTTGCTGAACGTTTGTGCATTTTCTTTACCTTTGTCATAAAATATTGCAAACACGTATATATTATTATTTATTTTCTCTGATGGTTTGTGAAACCGGTCGGCAAGTCATTAAAATTAGAAAAGCCAGTTAATGTCAAAAATTTGTTTTGTATTTTAAATCTATACTTTAAAATGTTCCAGAATTGTCCATGCATACCTTTTTTGAAAACTAAATTAGCTGTGTGATACTATAACTGGTCATATTCTCAGATACGTTGATAGTACAATACAATTTAAAGACGTTTACGTATGAACAATTATTTCGGATGAGTGAATATCTATTACAGGCTATGAAATAATGGCATGATTTACTGGCTAATGACTTAAATAAAATTAAAAAGTGTTATCATCGTAAATAAATGTGGTGTCAATTGTCAAACTTATGTCCGAAGTAGGATAGGAATCCCTTAAATCTCGTCGTAACATAACATAAATTCGTTCTTTTTTATAAAGTGACCAAACATCTTATCCTTCTATATCTTTCTGACATGCTTCCAGTCCCCACCAATGACCAATCATACAATTTACAACATCAAAATTGTTACAGAGCTCTCGGTATTTGTACCCAATATATATAATATTTTATTTTTGCCGTCCACAACTTCAGCCTTTAACATCTTGAAAAGGACGTTCGGAACTCCCAAACAGTATAGTCATTTAAACTGAGTTAAACCCCTAACATTTAATGTGCTAAAGAAAACTCCAGAACAAATCCAAAATCTGTTTGAAAATGTAAAATGTAGAACGCTAGGTAGCCATAGACGTTAGATAATATGCATCTCTTTTGTCTGTTTATTAATGTGAAATGATAAATCAGCACCGCACTGCAAAACATTAGAGTGCAGATGTTATTTCTTTTGAATCATTTTGTTGATGTACGATAGTAATTGCCAAGTTAACATTTACGTCATAGACAAAAGTAACAAAAATGCTCTAAAATTGTAAAGTATTAAGAACATAAATCTTCTGAAGTTATATAAGCATTAGTGTAACAAGATATAAACTATACAAGGAAATAGACAAAAGACATCAGTTACAATATACTCGCCTTCTCCATTAAAACGTTTTATGCTTTGGTGAATCTTTGTGGGAATAATTGATTGTACTACTTAAATAATGTAGTATTTGAAGTGTATTTGAAATATATGTATAGTACAGGTTTTATTAACAAGAAAGAAAAAAGCTATATTTTTAAAGTTTTGTTTAAGTCGTTATAAAATGGTTATGATAGGTATGTAACGTAGACATGCAGTTGATGTCAAAATAATTCTTGAGGTGCAATCATGTAATGAAGAATTATTACAAGCTATTGTCACAATGTCACCATGGATGGTAACTGTAGACTGTATTTGTTTCCCCGACTGCTTGTTCGTCTATTTATGGCACGCAAATATCCAAAGGTTTATGAAGTTCATTCCGCCGAAGATTTTAGTTTAAAAAAGAAACCACATAAACCAACACTTCAAGGGGAATGATTAACTAGTTGATAATGTATAAATATCACAGACAAAACCCATAAACCTGTTGGAATGTCCGTACTTCCTTCTTTTCGTTACAAAGTTTTGTCATTAGTATTTATATATCGTCAGTAAAATAATAGGAATGAAACTGCAGAAACATTTTGAGGGACAGTAATTCTTGATTCAACTGGTTCGTCAGGTGTAATATCAGCAAGCACAGTGTACGGCGTCCAAATATGAATGGGTTGTAAACTAAACGTGCGGTATATCTTAAAGTAGTTTGGTCATATCCTTTTGTGATGAAACGTTTGTTTATTTAAGTAAACATATAGTTATCACAAAATTATCATGAGTGAACATCTTACGAAAGATTTATAAAATAAACAACGTCAACCAATGGTGCACAATTAATAACCATACAGCACTGCTTTCTGAAACTTAAAATAGATATGGTGCAACAGAAACGAAATGGCATCACAATGTCCACAAACCTATTGGAGTATGTTGCTTACAAGTTAAAAATTGTTAAACAGTTCGAACTTCGTGCATATTTAATTATTTTCATATGCAAACAATTTGTAGGAGACATCAACTTGTAAAATATTTTAAGAAAAACTTTCACTTTTATATTAGACGTGTGCTTATTGTTATTTTGCGAATAATGTTGTTGTAATGTTCACAATTTTAATGTAAAATGGCCCACGGACTCTCATTAGTTTTATATATTTTGGAAAAGAACTTATACAACCATAATCCACATAATTGATAGCCGCAAGTCGTATGTCTATGTAAGAAACAATGTCTACAACATTCAAATGTAATTTCATTGTAGATATTCACTTATCTAACTCTTTGCACAAGGTAAGAAGATAAAAATAGGCTGTGCAGTTGATGTGAAAACGTTATTTTCCGTACTATGGTAATAAGATGCACTAACAAAGTGCACGGCACACACGCCTTCTTTAATTATTACATACATTCTATATCTTATTTGCTATCCATTCGAATGATGTTGATCACGCCACAATGCACTCCCTTGTAATTTGATACATTTCATCCATTTTTTAGTTGGAATTTCTTTGAAGTACCTTTTAGCAGTTATTGTGGTATAAAATGTTATTCCGTTCATTATTTCCTTCGTTTTGCCTTGCTCTATCATATCGCTGTTTAATCTGGCTTGACTTTACCAACCATTCTAAATTTTACAACAACTAAACAAATGAGCATCATTCTTGAATTTCTTTACAAATTTTATATCTGACTCCTTATGAAAAGATAAGTAGGTCAAAAACCTATTGAAGGTATTGTTAAGAAAAGATCTAACATTTAATAATGCTTTTCTCTATATATGTAAGCATTAGATGTTCATATTAAATAACTCAAAGCAGCTCATCAGAACAGAAACGTTATTAGTACACATTAAACAAAGAAAAACGTTCAAGCAGAAACTGATAACACGTTAAAAGAAATATTGTTAAAATGTTTATTAACAAAATATTTTATATACTTACAAATATATATAAACACACACTAAATATTTGCTTCGACTAAGATATTACCACCTTTAATCAGTGCGGAAAAAAACAATTGAGTTTGCTGTCCCTATCAATGTATTTGTTGTCATAACACAGAAAGGAGGAACATGTTTTATAACTAAAGCAATATATCTTACCAGATATGTGTGTTTTGTGTAGTTATGTATATGAATCTTTTTTATTTAGAAACGCTTGATTTTTCTAGATTAATTGTTTTTATTTTAACTCGATAGTAAAATATTGATCGTGATCGAACGACTTGTATCAGTCAATCCCGAGTAACCAGCACTACTGTAATACCAGGAAAATATGGTTTTGCCAAAGGAAGGTTTTAATCCATGATCACTGGGTTAAGTGGTTGACCCCTTTATCGTTATCAAACCGCTGTGTTTTAAAACGTTGCTAAGACATAAGAAGTCGTATCGTTGTTTCTATTCTAAATTGTAAAGAAACTTTATAGAGCTACTATCATGTTTTATCAATACTTGTTGCCTTACAACCCGACATCGAAACTAATTTACGTATTCGAATAGATAGAAAGAGATACATAACTCAATAAACGTTCGCATACATTATGTGGTCTTCCTTGCTATAAAAAAAACTTTGTGACTTTATCAAATTATATAGTTACTCGACTTGTTTACATAAGAAAGTGTAACAGGTTTTACCTTTAGTATACATAAGACTTTTATCTCGCACGTCCTTTTGTAGAATTTCCTAAATGCAGATAGTATGAAAATATTTTGACTCTAATTCATATCATATTATGAAAATACAATGATACATTGTATAACTGTATAAAAATATACGAGTGGGTTATGTCAACTAATGACTAAGAAAATATAAAAACCCAATATATGTCTTTGTTCAAGTGACAATAAATAACACTTGGACATCTGGTACCATATGATATATGTAACTTTGTCATTACTTGATTACTAGAGCACAGTGTTTTCATTTATTACTTGAATTTGAATAAAAGATTTCCCGTCGGCACGAACAAGTTTTGGTGTGAGCAGTCTTGACGGTGAAATCTTTGGTGTGGCAGGTGATTCTAATTTTGGAGTGTCTGTACTAAACACAGAATCCTCATAGTCACTTGTGCTTGTTTTTGACAGCAGGTCACGTGATTCATCGTCTGCCTCTGTTGGTAATCTACTATACAGGGCTATATTTTCCTTTTTGTTCCCATTAAGAGGAGTTTCCTCAACTTTTTGATTTAAGAAAGGCCCAGATTTAAATGCAAGGTCAGTCATTTTTTCCAACAGTTTTTCACGTCTGTTTTTCTTTCGAAGTATTGCCATTTCCTTGAGATAGCACCTTAACTGCCCATCTTGTTTATTTCTTCTTATATGTGAAGCAATCATCATAACAATAGACAGTCCATATATAAGGACAACTACTACCACATAATATAGAGCACCATCGTTGTCATAGTCAGCCTCCTGTGAGTCGATTGTTGCTAGGAAAGTGTCATTTCCAGTCGTTTGTATACGGAAACGCATGTTCCTGGTAGCGTCCATCATTCGGTACTGAAATATTATATATAAATAAACTTTTTCACAACATACAATTCACCAATACTGATAAAACTTTCAAAGATAGCGTTTGCCTACTGTCAATTTTCATTACAAATAACAATAAGCGATTCGCGATAATATTTTAAGTAAGGTAATTATACTTGAATATACAATATGAAGCAGACCTTTGGTGTTTTCAATGTTCACTAGAAATGTGTCCATAGGACACGGGTGCCCCCACCGCGCCACTGTTCTGTCAATCTTATGACTCTAGGTCAAATATTTTATGAAAACTAAAAATCTTTTTACTAAGTAAAGAGCAAGAACTTTACAAATACTGAATAAATCCCCAAGCAAACCCCAAGTTGAAAATTGCAAATTTATACTACTGTAAGTCAATAACTCTAACAAAACTGGAAAAAAATCCGCATGCAAAGTCCCAGGTTCATAGCTTCACAGTGATGTGAATCATTATTCCTGTAATTTAGTGATGTTGATCATTATTCCTGTAAAGTTGGTCGATTCTAACTCAAGCACTCAAGGAACAAATAACAACATAATGAAACAGTTTTTACTAAGGGAAATAACTCTACAAATACTGGATAAATCCACAAGCAAACCCCAGGAACAAACTAAATATGCTGAGCAACTTTCCCATAAGGTTTAATGACTCTATGTCAAATCCTTTTTGAGTTTCATGCGACACAAGTTGAACAAGAGCCACCACCGGGCGGGGGCAACGCTCGACTTTTTACTTTCTCTAAAAGCAAACAAAGAAATGTTTGAACAAAATCTTAACGTTTCCTTTTTATAAAATTAATCGGTCTGTCTTGTCACATAAGTTTTGTCTATATATTTTGTATATATAAATATACTAAATTATATATATAAATAGAAACACGCAATTCTATAAATAGAAAATTCTATAAATAGAAACATGCAATTCTATAAATAGAAACACGCAATTCTATCAATAGAAAATTCTATAAATATACACACGTGGTAGAGTCACGTGGTGGAGTCACGTGGTAAAGTCACGTGATGGTGTCACGTGATAGAGTCATGTGGTCGTGTCACGTGGCAAAGTCACGTGGTGGTGTCACGTGGCAAAGTCAAGTGGTGGTGTCATGTTGTGTAGTCACGTGGTAAAATCACGTGGTGGGGTAACGTGGTGGAGTCATGTAGTGGTGTCACGTGGTGGAGTCACGTTGTGGAGTCACGTGGCGAAGTCACGTGGTGGAGTCACGTGGTTAAGTCACATGGTAGAGTCAAGTGGTAAAGTCACGTGGTGCAGTCACGTGGTGCAGTCAGATTCACGTGGTGGAGTCACGTGGTGGTGTCATGTGGTGGTGTAACGTGGTGAAGTCACGTGGTGAAGTCACACAAAGGTCTTGTCCTTAAGTATGTTCTGTTATAACATGAAGTTGATCCCTTCAATAATAGCAAAGTTACAGCCAGTTACAGCCAAAACAATGAAAATTTCAATAATTTGAACTTCAAAGTCAAGGTCATTAATGAGTGAAGGTCAAGGTCTGTCTGGTTATTTTTAAGGGTTATCCTTGAAGATTATTATGTTCAAGTTTGAAGACAATCCATTCAAAAATAACAAAGTAACAGCCAATAATAGCCAAACAAATGAAAATTTCAATAATTTGACCTTCAAAGTCAAGGTCATTTATGAGTGAAGGTCAAGGTCTGTCTGCTTATTTTTAAGGGATATCCTTGAAGATTATTATGTTCCAGTTTGAAGACAATACATTCAAAAATAACAAAGTTACAGCCAATAACAGCATGAACAAGCAAAATTTGGACTTTTAACCTTGAAGGTCAAGGTCATTTATGATGAAGGTCAAGGTTAGTGTGGTCTACTGAAAGGTCTTGTCCCAAGGGTTGTTGTGGCCAAGTATGAAGACAATACACCAAGAAATAAAAAAGTTATGATCCAGGTACAAGTTTGCGGACGGCAACGGCAACGCCGCCGCGACTATAACAAACCTTTACTTTTTTTTCAAAAAAAAAGTCGAGCTAAAAATGCAAACATGTTCTAAGTCAAGGGCAATAACTCTAAAAATACTAAATAAATCCAGACGAAAATACCCAGGTGCACACCAACACATGCTGATCAACATTCCTGTAAAGTTTCATGACTCTAGGTCAAATACTTTTTGAGTTACATGCGACACAAGTTGAAAATTGCAAAATTTTACTAAGTCAAGGGCAATAACTCTAAAAATACTTAAAATACCCAGACGAAAATACCCAGGTGCACAACTTCACATGCTGATCAACATTCCTGTAAAGTTTCATGACTCTAGGTCAAATACTTTTTGAGTTACATGCGACACAAGTTGAACATTGCAAAATTTTACTAGGTCAAGGGCAATAACTCTAAAAATACTAAAAATATCCAGACGAAAATACCCAGGTGCACAACTACACATACTGATCAACATTCCTGTAAAGTTTCATGACTGTAGGTCAAATACTTTTTGAGTTACATGCGACACAAGTTGAAAATTGCAAAATTTTACTAAGTCAAGGGCAATAACTCTAAAAATACTAAAAATACCCAGACGAAAATACCCAGGTGCACAATAACACATGCTGATCAACATTCCTGTAAAGTTTCATGACTGTACGTCAAATACTTTTTGAGTTACATGCGACACAAGTTGAAAATTGCAAAATTTTACTAAGTCAAGGGCAATAACTCTAAAAATACTTAAAATACCCAGACGAAAATACCCAGGTGCACAACTTCACATGCTGATCAACATTCCTGTAAAGTTTCATGACTCTAGGTCAAATACTTTTTGAGTTACATGCGACACAAGTTGAAAATTGCAAAATTTTACTAAGTCAAGGGCAATAACTCTAAAAATACTAAAAATATCCAGACGAAAATACCCAGGTGCACAACTTCACATGCTGATCAACATTCCTGTAAAGTTTCATGACTCTAGGTCAAATACTTTTTGAGTTACGTGCGACACAAAAGAGAACGGACGGAAGGACGGACGGACGGAAGGACGGAAGGACGGACGGACGTTCTAACAGGAGAGTAATTATGTGGCTACTCTATTGTTCTCTCTATTGTTCTTTTTAGCCACACAAAAGAAAATAGCCACATAAAAGCATTACGGAATGAATGACATCAAAGAGAAAGAACAGTTACCTATTGTCCCTCTAGCCACATAATTACTCTCCTGTGAGTGCGGATGGACGGACGGACGGACAAGGGTAAATCTAAATGCCCGCCACTAATGTGGGGGCACAATAAAAGTAGCATGCAAACATTTATATTTCTTTCTCAGCATTTGTTAACTGAGCTAATTTGTCTTCAGAAAAAAAAAGATCAACTTACAAATTAAATTATCTGGATTTCTAAAGTTAATGATGTGTTATTGAAATATGAGTAGAAAATTCTAGAGAAACACATATGATCAATTATTCATCTTGATTTACCTTAATTAGACTTTTTCTTAGGCTAATTGTACTGTTTTTATCGTAAAAACACACGAAAAAGGAGCAGTTTATTTTATTATATTTATTGTCTGTTGATTATTTTTCATTTTCATTCACTTTATTTCAGTAAAATAAATTTTAAATATTATAAGTTTACCTTAGACATTTTTCTTTGATGTTATACTACGACCTTCCTCGTACAAAAATCGATTCTGTGTTTCTTTCTTCTTCAAATGTCCTCACTCACCTCTTTCTTCTGAAAGCAACGAAAAAAATACTATCATTATATCATTTATTTAGGTGATCAGTCGTATTAATGTATGAATTTATCTGAACTGATGAAATAGGGCATATAGACATTATATTATTTTAACTGTATTGGGCAGGATATAGGGGTTATACAGAACATCTATATGTACAATTAATAAGATCTAATCAAAATTAAGAACTTGTATTGGGAAAATGAACGGGTTTCCAAAAAGCAACTGGACCGGTTTATTCTTGAACTACATAATTTGTAATTAAATTTGTTTATGCAATATTAAATCCATTGGATTATTTAACAACATAAAATCACGTAAAATTTTCGCCATCGTAATATATTCACAGTTATGAGTTATGATTTACAAAATGTATTGTTTTTTCACTGAAGCATATTTCTATTTTGTGTTTATATATCATCTTTACCATTTGACTGTAAAATATACTCATATCTTATGAGTATGTTGTACGCATGGTAATGTTTCCCGGATATATTTTAAAAATCTACTAAATCTCTTAACGTTAAAATTACTAAATGTTATCCGTTAAACAGAAAAAGCGATTGCATTCTAAGATAAAGTTTTTGATCTCAAGTGACGATTTGACTATAAAATGTGTTCATATGTGTACGTTATGTGTAGGTATATGCATACAGCCCGGATGTTTTGACATTCTTAATTTCTTAACTGTAAAATGATTAGATCGAATTAATTCGTCTAATGGAAAAAGTGCGTGTTTTTAACTTTTGGTCATTTAAGATCAGTTAAACTGTTTCAGATACTTCGCAAAGACAAATTATACATATTCACATAATTAAGGTAACATGTGATTTTCTATTAATATGACTAATGTTCTATTCTATTATTCAACATCTATATATCACAGAAAAAAACACCAGAAAGATCTTTTGGATCGAATGGCAAAATACTTGTGCCCAGTATACAACATAGCAACTCCGTCCCAAACCCAAAGGTCTCAAGTATTATACAGCTGCTGTATATGTATGCATATATACTCAATCAGAAATCACGTTGAGACAAAATAAATAGATGAAGAAAAATAGAAAGGTTCACATAGAATACAGAGGGACGGCATGATCGGCTATTTAAGGATTGCTATCATCATGGGTTCAAATAACGTCAGGGACGAGCCGTTGTTTTCCTTGCTCAATACTGGTTGGTTCCAGAAACGGTTTTGAGAGTGTGTCTATAAGTGAACAGTTTCCTACACATCCAACTAAAATAAATTCTGTTTTAACTAATACAGAGGGCCAGCGCATTTAACAGGGCAATTTTAATTGCCTGCTGAGTAGTTTAATCCTGTTGAAGGTACAGCGGTTTTTTGTGCATTTTATCCGATTTTCCATAAGACAGTTATGCCCACAGGGTGAATATCTTACATGGAATTCAAATATATTTTAAACTCATGCATGTCATCTCTTAGCTAGTACAATACAGCAATCTACCACACAATAATTGGTCCTTGAACATGTTAGCGTAAAGGCTACAATACTTTGATCCTAAAATAGTAGTGCAGCTTAAAGTTCATCATGTCAAAAATTAACAACGAAACAAGACCTTTTAATCCATCTTCCATAAAATGTCTGGAGAAAATCGTGAGCTTTGATGCACACATAATTTGCCTATATGTGCCATCGTAATTATAATGTCACTTCTAAAGAAATACGTCTAGAAAATTCAGTTCTTGCTATCATAAAGTTATTATTCCAAACAAAGTATTTCAATCGTCACGTTTTAATTATACTCATATATGAAATAAACGCCAGAGTTTCTTTCATTAAGAAATAGATTCTCTTGAGATAGTTTATTTATGTTGTCAATATTTCAATACATATAATTAAATGGAAATATGTATAGAATATACATTTGTATATTCAATGGGTTTTTATATCAATTTATGCTGCAATAATTTGCTCATTGAATATCCATATGCCAATGAAACATTACCATGTGAAAACTAGTAGACTTTCAATTCTAGACGTATCATAGAAATTAAAAAAAATATTAATTATATAATCAATTTAATAACTTACATTTTTACATCCGATAAAATCATTCCAAATTCTATACATTAACTAAGCTTAGCTTGTTATATGTGTGTACATCAACTGTATAATGAAGCTTGTATTTTGTTGTAAAAGCGAGTAAAGTGACAGTAAAGTGACAGCATAGAGTACACGACGAGATTCCTAATGAGTATTGACAACCTAGTTCTATCGATGGATAGTGAAGTAAACATGTGACAGCAAGATTAAGGAGATTTTGTTCGTGTTTATATTGATAGAGATATGGGGAAATATGCAACAGTTATTCATTTATTCATTCATTCATTTATTTATTTTAATAAAGCAGTCATGTATTTATTTAAACATATTAATATTAAAATCACAACAGCAAAAAACAGGGATTTTATTTTAAAAGATTATAATATTTGTACTTTTGCGTTGACTTAGGATGTTAAGAGATCTGTATCCCGTTTAGAAGAAATATCTTTAAAAAAACAATTCTTAGCTAAGGTGAACCTGGCCCCGTGTTCACAAAAATTTAAGGATCAAGATCAGGATCAAATTTAAAAACTCAAATACACTCCATAATTTATCCTAATAGGTTAATATTTAAAATTTTAGAATAAATTTATTGTTATTTTTACAAGATATGGGCATTTTACAGTTGATCCAAATATTGATCTTGATCCTAAAATTGGTCCTAATTTTGATCCGATTTTATTGTATCGTTGATTTTTTTCTTAAAATAGCTTAGTTTCTTTGCAAATCATCAATTGAATATGTACCTTTATATTCTAGCAATCTAGCAAAATACGCTTAATTTTAGTTTTATTAAACAATGAAAATACAATAAGGTTTATTTGATCCTGATCTTTTCTGGACACAGGCCTTGTTTAACTTTCTATGTTTTGTATATAATTATGAAGTTACGTTACCAATGCTTGATTGACAATGCCATTCATTTCTAATAAAGACAAGGAAATTGAATTATGAAACATAATATTAACATGTGCATGTGTTGGCAGTTATATAGATAGAATTTAATAAATGATAATGAGTTGTATAAATTCAACAATATTTACATCCCTGAATGCTTGTACATCCATGTTGCTCCGCTTTTGTTGTATTTTAAAATAACGTTATGTTTACCTTTTAACCAGGGTGTATACATAATAACATGTACATCACTGTTATAGCTCAGTGAATTCTAAATGTAGAAAAACAAACTATTCACTAGATAACTGAATGAAAACTCAAAAGCAGTGTAAAATAGTTGGGGTGAAAAATGCTCGTATGCGAAACTCCTTTACATTACTGATATTCAAGAATTCGAAATTACGTTTCAGAAAGTTCATTTCCTCATTTTGCAGATTCCCAGATTTAAGTTCATAATTTGAGATAGGCCCATGGAAGTCTATTGTAATCAATTCTTCCCTGTAAATTCTATAGGAAGTTGATTCGTTCGCAGATGACTTTCGATCAAAAAAGTGATTAGAGTGAACCCAACCCATCTTCTGAATTCAGATAGTGTCAATAAATTGTTGTACAAATGCATAACTTTTATTACAACTGTTTGATATCTCAAACGATTTTAAACATTTGAACAATGCTAATTGAACTAATTTATTGTTAGATTAACGCTTATTCAAACAAATAATTTATAATGGAGAATATAAGAATCCTTAAAGAAAGTTCAAAACGGCAAAATTGAAAATGTTGCAGACTGGTTTGATTGAGCCTGTTCATGGATGGTACTGTACGTTCACGCCCCCTAGCACCGGCTTAAGCAGAATTCAACATTTAAACATGAAATGGTAAATTTTTGAATTTAGAAACATCCGCAGATGTGTTCATATAAACTTTATATCATAATCAAAAAGAATATCATCTCTTCAACCAATTTGTAATTGCTGTATTAAAATTTTAATGTCTTTGTGTTTCATTATACACATTGCTATAATGCATCCGTTATTTCTAGAATATTAAAACTATGCAAATCCAGACAAATTGCTGTAAATGATTAAGAGCGCTGTCAAGACGTCTACTGAAATTCTCAATTACGCTAAAAAATGCTTTGAAATGAATCACTTTCTTATGTTTGTCTCTCACACATATATTTATATTCTGTTAGATGACGATATTCTAGTTATTCATAATATAGTTATAAATGAAATATTGCTGAAATAAAATGCGTATTTTCATTTTCCGTATTTTCACTGTAAACAATTATTTTTCACTGCAGTAAAACATATTTTTCGTATTTTCACTGGTGTCTAGCCGGGCTACTTTCTTATCAATTCAGCCAATACACAAAATTTAAAAGAAAGTCTTTCAAATTGTAATGTAAAAAAGGAAAGAAAAATGTAAATGATAAACAAAAAATTCAATTTTTTCCTGTAAATAGAAGATTTATTTCCATCTTTATTCACTTTCATAAATATTTCATCAGTGGCGGTAGCCACGAGTGAAATATGATAATTTTCATATCACTCAATGAAAAAAAATTCTGTATTTATTGAAAATAAACTTGAATATCCTCTATATATTACACTCTTTAAATTGCTCTTATTATTCTAGTTATATTTTATACTCTTTAACTTGCACTTATTATTCTGGTCATATACTACACTCTTGTAATTATCATTCTAAATATATATTATACCCTTTAATTAGCTTTTACATTCTAGTTTTATATTTTACTCTTAACACAGTGCATATTACAGTAGAAACCCTCAATTAAGACCGACATTGGGACCGTGCCAAAGTGGTCTTAAATGCGGGGTGGTCTTAATTGTGAATATTCTTATCGATGCTTACACACTTTTTGACCATGGTCTATTTTAGTCATTTTGTATGATATACCTGCAAATGCAACATAAACATGTTATAAATTATCATCTGATGGAAAGAAAGAAACATCAAATATATCAAATTGTATTTTTTCTGATTTCAATATCAATTTAAATATT